CATCCATCCATCCATCCATCCATCCATCCATCCATCCATCCACCCATCCATCCATCCTCCAACTCAACCATTCATCCATTCATCAATCTTTCTAGCCTGTTGCCAGCAACCATTCCCTTTAGGCAGACTCAACCTGACACAGGGTCTTATCAGTGCCTTAGCAAAGCTCCTTCCCTCTTCTTTGATGACAACAGTAATGTAAAAAAGTCCATGAGCAATTTTAGAGCAGCAAATGCTACATTCAAGACCTGTTGTTTTCCAGGAATATCCATTTTATTTTTTTTTATCTCAGTTGAAATACTCTTTAGTTCAACACAAAAGGAAATTGAGGGAACAGCTTCTGGATTTGGATGCATGTTAGAATAAATGTAAATGTAGAATGCTGTCCTAGCCTTTTTGAAAAGCAGGATAAATTTGCATGAAAAGTGAAGCTGAATACCCATCTTGGGTCTCCATGGCTTTGTGTGTACAAAACAAGAAAAGAAAAATCAAGGAATTTGGAAAATAAAACTTGATACTGGGAAAGCATGGCTGCCAAACCAGATTACCTGAAAGCAAAGAAGCAGGGTAACAGTAACCGTTAGTGTGCGGCTGGGTTGAGCCTGAGATCCCTTTATTCAGTTGCTGCAGATATGAGCCACTCTGATGCACACAGAAAACCTCTGAACTTTTCTAATCTGGTCATATTATATCAATATGTACCTGAGCTACATAATTCAGGGTATTTAGTGACTCTAATCTTCATCATGGTACTGTAGTACTGTAAGGGAGTATCAGAGTAATCTTATTCACAGTAACAGATTACTGCAATTTGTTAATAATCTGAATATTTGAGGACTCTTCCTTGACACCCTGCAGACTTCCTGCCCAACTGTTTCTGCCTCTTACAGGAATGCAGTGAATGATGAGAGAAAGCCCGAAGATGCCATCAGCCGTCTGATTGGCCAGTTCCCTTGAGCCCTGCCCTATAAGGAAAGGAGCCGAGGAGAAAGCGACGAGGATGAGGAGGAGGAGGCCCCGGCCTTGTTTGGATGGTGGACGGATAGAGGAGGTAGAGACTTGATAAACTGGAAGGCAGCTCCTCAGACTCTCACTTCTGTCCTACTCCCACTCCCACATCATCCCAGCAGGTCCTGCACTGCCACGGTAAGACTTCCTAATGCACTCCTCAGGGATCAGGGATCTTTCCTAGAAGGATCTGCCTTTGCATCTCCTATCACCTCTATTCCTTTCTACATTAACTATATCTCTTTAACCTACATTTACATCTCTCCTCTCTTTTTTAATCTACTGAGTTTCTTCCTCCTCCCAGTGATCAAACTTATCCAAGTTTCTCTTTTATGCTGCGTCTTCTGTTAATGCAACTCTTTTTCTTCCGTTTCTACCTGCATGCCTTCTGCAGTCAGCAAAAGGAGGTTTCCCCTATTTGAAACCTTACCTTATGTCCTGTCAGAATAATCCATCCACCCACTCACCACCTGTGTTCTCCTACTTTGATTCTCCTGCTTTCTCCTGCAGAGGGAGGATCGTGTTGTCTGTTCTTAAAGTTTTTACCCATGAAACACCTTCTAACCTTGTTTGGATCACCTGAAAACTCTCAGGCTGTTTCTCCTTCATGTCTGTGTCCTGAACTCTAACTGACCACCACCTGATTTCTGCAGATGTTCAGATCCAGTTTGAATCGTCCTTCACTGTAAATTGTTTTTATTTACCATTTGATAGTCTCTATCAGGAGAAACTGAAGTGTATTAAACTGCTATTCCATATAAAAAACTTAGACTCAACTTTTTTTATGCCTTGGAGATTACTCCTTCAGGAAATTCTTGTTCCATCTTGTTATATAGAGTACAAAGAGTTAGAGCAAAATGCCATTAAAGATAAACAATTAAGAATTAAGACTAGACAATAATCATCTTGGATATGTTTAAACTTTGAAACTGTCTTTGGTTATGATGCCCCCAGCAGAGGGCAGCTCTGGACCCCTCCCCACAGCACTGGGTCCAGGTGCTTTGTTTGCACAGAGATAGAATAAACAGTAAAAATATTAAACTAGAACTAAATAAAGAGAAGAAATGTTCTGCCTAGATCTGGCAGAGCGGCTAAATCTTTTAGTCAGAATCAAACATTTGTGTTCTAGTTACAATCAATATGAATGTGTTATTTCCATGTCTGTATGAAATGTTAGGAGGTCAGAGGTCATCAGTGGACGTATGATTCCTGCAGCATTATTCCTAACTCTTGTTTCCATGAAAGTATCTGGGGAATAATCTGTCCAACCGCTATCACGGCTTCTGATTGGCTCCACACTGAACCTATAGGAGAGCTGGATAAGGACCAGGTCCAATATCCGGATTTGGTTAACATGGCTTTAAAGAACGATAAGAGAACATTTACTGAGGCTGGTTCTGAAACAGCTGTGTTGGATTTTCTAACTCTCTCATCTTCAGGTGTCTGTTTCCAGGAAATAGTAATTAAGCATCAGGAAGTCATTATAATAAACTTTTAATGTAATTTCCAATTATTTAGAGGAACTTTTATAATTACCTTTCAGAAAGAGCTGCAACCAGAACTTTTGCCCACAGTGATTCTGGAGCAGGACTTTGGGATCACCATATTGTTTAACAAACAGTTTAATATTTACAGAGAGATTTCCATATGTTCTGACACATGAAGCTAAAGTTTTTACTTCAGCTTTATGTCTGCTTTATATATTATTTTTGCTTCTGATGGTTTGAGCTCAAAGTGAATCTTAATTTGATGAGTAATAAGAGGAAACAAATGTGCTGCTTGCTTAGTTAAAGCAGCCTCTGTCATCGCTGCAAGCTAACTAAACCTAAACCTCAGCATGAAGCTACGCTCAAGCAGGAGCTTCCTCTCCTTTTCCAGATGTACAAAGTCCTCATTCATTTCTAATGTTATCAGTGTTTGTTTTGTATCTGTTCTTAGTGTAGTTCAGTACACTATGGCAACAGATTCCCGACAAATATTTTAATGCAACAAAACATCTAATTGATGAAGTGAAATGTATTTATTCAATTTATTTCACTCATAGACAGATATAAAGTCCCATAGACAATCCATGTTAATTCAAAAGTAATGCATTGAAGCTCAATTTATTATTTCAGTTGGTGACGTTTTTTTTTTTTCGTGAAGGAAACTGCCAAAAGCATGGAATCACTGATTTTCCAGCAATTAATCTTGGATAAGCTGCTGTTGCTAACTCTGCAGTACTCCCTCATTCTTAGCACGCAGTAGTGTAAAGCTAAACATCCCCTTAACAGGAAGAAAACCTCCAGCAAAGCAGGATCAGTGTCGACTGGAGGGGGTGGGGTTGGAAACATGGGGATAGATGGAGAGGCACAGAAAGGGATCCGTTTGTCCCAAAGCATCTTCTGCAAGAGAAGGTGATGCTCCATGTCCTGTGATGTTCTCCTAGGTTAAATCGCTGTAACATGAGGAGAAGCAGCTGCTGCAGAAACAGTTTAAATGGATAAGAAAGCAGGGGCTGCCAAGGCAGAGCTGAGGGCAAAGTTAGCCCTCAAAGGCCCATCCTGCAGCCAGAAACAGCAAATACTCAGTTCCCAGAGTTCATGACTAAATATGGAGCAAAGTGCTGTAGAGGGAGAGGAAGATGAGGAGAGATGAGAAAGGACAGATGGAGTGGAGTGCGGCTGGGCGAGGCAGAGCAAACAGGGGGAGAGAGAGAGAGAGCATACCAAACACAGGCCGGACTCCGCTCATGACCGAAATAGGAAGTTTTCTCTGAGTTAAAGGTCATGTGACCACCTCCCAGCTCCAGTTTTGGTGATGCAGCAGAGCTTTGGTGGGCTTCATTCAGATTTTCTTCCTGCTTTATTTTTGATGTAAAAATGGAATTTTATAATAAATTAGCTTCAGTTTCTCTTTGTTGACTCGTTCTCACTGTTTCAGACTGAGCAACGTTCCTCCTCCTCCTCCTGGTTTCACTCTAATGATAGAAACCCAAGCTTCAGTGCAGAATCCAAAGAAAACTCTACATCAGCAACCATCATTACAGAGCAGTGATATTTTACAGGAAAACTACTTTTGATAATAGATTGACAATGATTTAAAATTATTTTTTGAAATCTAAAGTTTAATTCTAAATTATTTATGCAATGAAATTTAAACAAATGCCAATGTGCTTTAATGTAGCAGCTGTGAGTTTGATAACAATTTTTGCTTAGCCTTAGTTTTTAACATTTGCTTTATCTCAACGTTTCTAAATAAATTTGAAATCATTTGAAAGGTTTTTGATAATTTTATTTTTTATTTTTTATTTAGCTTCATTTAAGTAAAGGCTGGACTGTACATAACCAATCACATCTCCTCTCTTCATCAGTGCTAGTCGCTCTTGTAGGTCTGCAGCTTGTCCACAGCGCCCCCTGCAGTCATGTGTGATGATGAGGAGAGCACTGCTCTGGTGTGTGATAACGGATCCGGTCTATGTAAGGCCGGGTTCGCCGGAGATGACGCTCCCAGGGCCGTCTTCCCCTCCATCGTCGGCCGGCCCAGGCACCAGGTGACTTCTGATTGGTCCAACCTCACACCCATCCTCAACAGTGAGACAGGTGTGAACTGATTGTGTGTGTGTTTTAGGGAGTGATGGTGGGAATGGGGCAGAAGGACAGCTATGTGGGAGACGAGGCTCAGAGCAAGAGAGGAATCCTCACCCTGAAGTATCCCATTGAACACGGGATCATCACCAACTGGGATGACATGGAGAAGGTCTGATATACACATAAACACACACACACACACGACTCCACACCTATGAAACCTCCTCAACCTCTCCTCCTCTCTGATTGGTCAGATCTGGCATCACTCTTTCTACAACGAGCTGCGAGTAGCTCCAGAAGAACATCCCACTCTGCTGACCGAGGCTCCTCTCAACCCTAAGGCCAACCGAGAGAAAATGACTCAGGTAGGGGAACACCGAGTACAACCAGCTTCTCTGGTTCTGGGTATCCAGAGAGCGTCCCCTAAGTTGCAGAAGGATGCATCTTCTGCGGCAGCATGTTTTCTTCAGTTCCTGAAGCATTAACGGCAGTTAACAGCACAATTATAGTAGTAGAAGTGGTCACACAATGTGCACCGTAGAAAAGTTTCTTAAAATAACAGATAGGAAAATAAAACTATAAAATACAGTGTTTTACAATATAATACTCTGTATCTGGAGAATAAAGATTAATAACAGCTGCAGACATTTTTACAGTAATGGAAATGTGAGAAACAGCAGCAACACCAGAGATGTGCAAAATCACATTAACATGATATTTAACTGGCGAAAATCAACATGAATGTAATAACTTATTTAGGTTATTGGGAACAGTGATGGTTATAAAGTCTTACACCTCCTTTTACCAAACAGAGGATGATACTTATTGAAACGTGTTTGTTGAAAATGTCCTTAAATACCAGCAGGTTGTTCCTCTGCAGTCAGAACAGGAGGTGGAAACTTCCTGGACTGTGAGACCAGATCGTAGCTTTAATCATGGGAACCCATGATGATGATTTTCTCATCATCCTTTAAGGGTTCTGTTGTGTTTCTGCTCTGCAGAGGTGAATTATGAGAATCTATTCCAACTTTTCTCCCAGGAACATTGTTTTATATAAATTAAATATCTCCTTAAGTTAAAAAAAGCTTTTCCAATGTTTGATCCTTTCTCAGATGACTTAGCAGCTTGTTTAGAATAATCATCTATGTTTTAGTCAAAGTCTTACTGGAATATGTTCATTTGAATTCGGATGAGATAAAGATAAAGTTAAGGGATAAAAAAGTGTTCTGTATGGTTCTGATGTACGTTAATGTCTATTTTCAGATCATGTTCGAGACTTTTAATGTTCCTGCCATGTACGTGGCCATCCAGGCAGTGCTGTCGCTGTACGCCTCCGGACGCACCACAGGTTGGACCTCACACTCTTTCACCTTTTCACATACAGCACGTTGAAATGTCAAGTCAAGTCAAGTCAAGTCAAGTCAGCTTTTATTGTCATTTTCTACATATGTACAAGACATACAAGGGAAATGAAATTGCGTTTTGTCTATGAGACTAAATGATTAACCTCCATTAGACATGTTTGTGACGGAGCAGACGTTTGAACCAGCCTCCTCTCTCTCTTCAGGTATAGTCTTGGACTCAGGTGATGGCGTCACCCACAACGTGCCAATTTATGAGGGGTATGCTCTCCCACATGCCATCATGAGGTTGGACCTGGCGGGCCGCGACCTGACAGACTACCTCATGAAGATCCTAACTGAGCGAGGCTACAGCTTTGTCACCACAGGTAAGACTGACACACCTGGACTTTCCACTGGGATGTGCCCCCATCACGCTGACCCGTCTGACCCTCTGTCCTGCAGCGGAGAGGGAGATCGTTCGTGACATTAAGGAGAAGTTGTGTTACGTAGCTTTGGACTTTGAGAACGAGATGGCCACAGCAGCTACTTCTTCTTCTCTGGAGAAAAGCTATGAGCTTCCCGACGGTCAGGTGATCACCATCGGCAATGAGAGGTTCCGCTGCCCAGAGACGCTCTTCCAGCCCTCCTTCATTGGTCAGTCAGCTCACCACATGTTTTCCTTCTCTATGCTCTTTAACACACAGCCCATAAAAGATGGTTCAGTCGCTTTGCTTAGTTGATCAACATAGATATTAATACTGTCATTTTCCTGCAGGTATGGAGTCGGCTGGAATCCATGAGACAACCTACAACAGCATCATGAAGTGCGACATTGACATCCGTAAAGACTTGTATGCCAACAACGTGCTGTCAGGAGGAACCACCATGTACCCGGGGATAGCTGATCGGATGCAGAAGGAGATCACAGCGCTGGCTCCCAGTACCATGAAGATCAAGGTCGGCTCTGAGTTTGGTTTCCAGGATGAGTTCAAGCTCTTCACTGAGAAACAATTAGGATAGATTTGATCTTTTAATCCCTTTTAACCAAAGCCAGTGTGTGCAGCATTGAAAAGGCTTAAAGTTGTGATTCCCAAACATTCCAGGCTGTGACCCAAAAAATATACCAAACTGGGCACCCCGTAAAATACATAAAATTACTTTATATCTATTCATTAAAGACAGTAAAGATAATAATATATTTCTTAAATATTTAATTTATCAACCCATGCTGATTATTTTAATATTACGGTAGGCTAAAGATCCCTGATATGTGCTGCCAATATTTTTGAAATGATTTATGGAGCCAATTTTGCTTCGTCGCCATTTACATGATAAAAATGACACAATGATAACGAATGTTACTCATGTTTTCATTTGAAATAAAAAAAGAAACTTTAACAAATCAAAGAAAACATTAAAATGGATAGCAAATGGAGAGAAGCGTCAATGCAAACGCTTCAAGGAGATCTTAAAGCATGGCAGCTGGAGCGACCCACACATGTATCAGTCAATATATGTAGTCCATGTATCAGTCTCTCTTACACATTTATCCATTTCTGAAAAACACTAATATTTCTGAATTTCATTACATATATTTTGGGCCAGGCTGCTTTCTGTGTGGAGTTTGCATGTTCTCCCTGTGCATGCGTGGGTTATTTCCGGGTACTCCGGCTTCCTCCAACAGTCCAAAAATTTAATTGGCCTCTCTAAATTCTCCTTAGGTGTCAGTTTTTGTGTGAATGGTTGTGTGTCTCTGTGTTGCCCTGCGTTGGACTGGCGACCCGTCCAGGGTGTACCCCGCCTCTCGCCCCCAGACAGCTGGAGATAGGCACCAGCACCCCTCACGACCCCAACTGATAAACGTGAAGGAAAATGTATGGATGGATATTTCGGGCCACCATATACTTCACGGATCACATCACAATGATTGTGAAAAAATTTGCGATCCCCACATTTGACATCTCCTGACCCCACCAGAGAACCACGACCCCCCATTGAGGAACCTCTGGTTTAAAGGGCTTCTTAAGAAAGAGAAGAACCCAAAGAATGCAAACCTGTTGATCTGTACCATACCATACCAACTTTATTTATGAAGCACTTTATACACCGGACAGGACCAAAGTGCTGTACACAATCATAAAACACAATAAAATTATAAAATAGAGAAAAAA